AGAAGCACCTCAAGTAAGTTTCAAGGCACTGATTAACACGCTCAGTCTGGCCATCACTCTAGGGATGGAATGCAGTGCTCATACATAACTTAACTCCAATAGTTTTAAAGAGAGCTTGCCAGAAATGGCTGGTGAAAATCTCATCTCTATCACTGATGATAGAGTTGGGAAGTCCATGCAGCTTGAAAACCTCCTTGAAGAAGATGTCAGCTACATCTTTGGCAGTAAAAGGGTGTTTCATGGGAATGAAGTGAGTGTACTTAGTGAGTCTGTCAACCACCACCAAAATAGCATCATAACGTTCATTGGAGGGGGGGGGTAATTTTTCTATGAAATCCATAGAGATGCTCTTCCATGCTTGCTGAGGTATCTCTAATGGTTGAAGTAATCCAGGGGGGTGAACATGTTCTGATTTACTGGTCTAACACATTTTACATTGCTTAACAAATTCTTCCACTTCAGTTCTCATTCCTGGCCAATAAAAAATGTTCTTCAATATCTGAAGTGTGGCTTTCTGTCCTGAGTGACCTCCCAATGCTGAAGAATGAAAGTTTGCCAACAAGGTTTTTCTTAATTCTGCCTGTTTTCCCACATATATCTTGCCATCTTTTTTGAGAATTCCACACACATATTGATAATCAGACCCTGAATCTCCCGATGTAATCACTTTGGCAACCAAGTTTTGCACCTCTTCATCTCCTTGGCAGCTCTCCTCAATCTGTTGCATCCACAATGGTTTGACAGTACTGACAACATTTAACATAGTCAATTGATCTTCTCCTGAATTTCTCCTGGATAGAGCATCAGCAACCACATTTTCCTTACCCCTCTTATACTGAATCTCATAATCCAATCCAAGCAGTTTGGCCAACCATTTATGCTGCATGGAAGTAGTTAACTTCTGCTCCAATAAGTATTTTAGTGCTTGGTGATCAGTCCTGATAATGAAATGGTGCCCTTGTAGGTAATGTTTCCACTTTTCAATAGCCACCACAAGCGCCAATAGTTCCTTTTCATAAGTGGAAAATCCTTGGTTTTGCTGATTGAAAGCTTTACTGAGGTACGAAATGGGTCTCCCCTCCTGCATTAGTACAGTCCCCATACCACTCTCACATGCATCCGTTTCAATAATGAAAGGAAGATTGAAATCTGGAAGTCTCAACACTGGAGCATTGACAGTGATTTCTTCAATTCCTCAAAAGCTACTGTGGCCTTCTCATTCTAGTAAAAAGCATCCTTCTTCAATAGGGAGGTAAGTGGTTTGCTGATAACCCCAAAATTCTTTACAAACCTCCTATAGTATCCTACTAGTCCCAAGAACCCTCTTAATTCCTTAGTGGTTTGTGGAATAGGCCAATCAGTGATGCTTCTAACTTTAACAGGATCCATTTCAACACCTCCTATTGAAATGATGTGACCTAAATATTCCACTGTTTGCTGAGCAAAAGTAAACTTGGATCTCTTAGCAAATAACTTGTTCTTTTCTAGAGTTTGCAACACCAAGCTAAGGTGGTTTACATGCTCTTCCATGGTAACACTGTAAATCAAAATGTCATCAAAAAACACAAGCACAAACTTTCTAAGGTATGGTTTAAAAACCTGGTTCATTAAAGCTTGGAAAGTGGCTGGAGCATTAGTCAATCCAAACGGCATTACCAAAAACTCAAATTGGCCATGATGAGTTTGAAATGCTGTTTTTGGGATGTCTTCTTCCCTCATTCGGATTTGATGATATCCAGCTCTCAGGTCAACTTTGGAGAAGTATCTAGCCCCCAGAAGTTCATCCAACAATTCCTCAATGACTGGAATTGGGTATCTGCTCTTTACAGTCAGCTCATTCAGTTTCCTATAATCAGTGCACATGCACCAATCATCATCTTTTTTCTTTGCCAATAGCACAGGGGATGCATAGGGACTATTGCTCTCCCTTGCTGTTCCCTTTTCTAACAAATTGTCTACTTGCTTCTCAATTTCAGCTTTGTGAGCATGAGGATAGCTGTAAGGCTTTAATTTAAAAGGAACTGCTCCTGGTTTAAGACAAATTTGATGTTCAATATCCCTGATGGGAGGTAGCTCTGTTGGTTCAGCAAAGACTCCTTGATACTGATCTAGCACTGTAAGTATTTCTGTTGGTAATTCCTCCAAGACCACTGCTGATAAGTGACCAGCATTGACATATATTGCTTCTTTTTCACATCTCCTCCTCCTGAAGTCAGGTTGTCTTAGCATTTCTCTGTCTTCTTGCCAAGATTCCCTCATTCTTTTCTGTCTCTCCACATCTTCTAACACAACTTTCATTCTTTTATGAGATTCATAACAGAATCCTTTCAACACAAAACTCTCCCCTTTTCTGTGTAGCTGGATACTAAACCTGTCATAGTCAAAGAGAATGGGACTGAAGCATGACATCCAATCAGTCCCTAGTATAATGTCCCACTCTCCTAAGGCAATCACTTTAAGGTCAAAACTGAAACTATATTGTTGCATTGACCATCGAGCTGAAGGACATTCTTGGTCATTTCTCAGTCTATATCGCTCAGCAACAGTAACAACAAATGGTCTGGTCTTCCTGGTGATTAATCTCATTTTTTTTGACCAGATTGCAATTCACAAAGCTCTTAGAAGCCCCAGTATCTATGAGAATTCTAACCACTTCTCCTCCAATAGATCCAAGAATTACAATCAACTTCCTGTCCTCATCCTCAATTGCCATACAATCCTCCATCTGATTAATGGCTTGCAACTGTTCTCCTGTCAGGTTCACTATGTTGCCAACATCTTCATCAACTCCTTCCTATTGTATAAAATTGAAATCTCCTGCTTCCTCATCCTGCTCCATAGCAATTACATTAACTTGCTTTAACTTACAAACATGGCCAGGTCCCAACCTTTCAGAACATTTCCAACATAGGTTGCTGTTCTTCCTGTATTGAATTTCTTGTGGTGATAATCTCTTAAAAACTTCATTCCCAAACTTCCTTGGTCCTTTGGCTGTATTTTTAAGGACATGTGGAGCCCTAAAATTTGAAGAGTAAGCTTTACTGACAGGGGAAACATTACTCCTTGTCTGAAAGGCTAAGTCAATAGTCTGTTCCTACACTGAAGCAATCTCATAAGCCTTCAACAGAGTAGTTGGTTCCAAAAGTCTGACCATCGGTTTCAGCTCTTCTTTTAGGCCACTGATGAAGCTAGAAATGAAGTATGATTCTGTGAGATGAGAATCCTTGCACAAAATCATAGACTTCAATTCTTCAAACCTCTCATGGTATTCTAAAACAGATCTTTTTTGCTGCAACTTATTGAACTCTTCAATCTCATCTTTACCCCCTTTTTCTCTAAACCTCTTAAGTAATTCCTTCGAAAATTCCTGCCATGACAGAACCCCTTTTGCTCTTTTCAGACTTTGGTACCAATTATCCGCCTTTCCATCCATATACAGTTCAATCGCATCCAACTTTTTACTATCAGAAACATCATAGATACTGAAAAACTTTTCACACTTTCTCAACCATTCTCTAGGGTTATCACCAGTAAAATTTGGCAGTTCCATACGTGGCTGTGACAACCATAGATTCTTCTCAGTCTTATCGGTTAACTCACTACTTCAGCATCAACAACATTAATCTTTAAAGTACTGATAGATTTAGACATGATTCCAGAGGGGCTTGAGGAAGATGGAACCTTACCAAGAATAGAAGGGTCACCTTTCTTTCCATTCATCACCATCAAGATCTCATTAAGCTATGCATTCACCGACTGAAACTGGTTGGTTTGGTGCTCCACTTTTGCTTCCAGCACAAATCCCCAGTTGTTAAGCTTTTCCTCCGTCTGCTTCCTCCATTCACTGACTTCAAGCAACTGAAGATCCTGCCTTTTCATATGATCTTCAAGAGCTTGAGTTGTTTTCGATCTAGTTTCCGTCATCCCTGTCGTTGTTTAGTAGATCCAAAATAATTAAAGGAAGAAAGAAAAAAAAAATATCTTAAGAACAGGCCAAAAGAAACGGTTAGCTCTGATGATACCAAGTGTAATGTTGAGGCTTATTTTATATTAGGTTTTTACTGCTTTTGGCCGGACATTTCATAAAGGAAGAAAGAAAAAGAAATAGAGTGTAACCGAGAATAGAAAAGAGGAAGAAGAAGACGTGAGAGAGTGAAGAAAAGGACAGAACATAAATCAGATAGGATCAAATCAAAATCTGTTTTCCATAATCCTTCATTTACATGATTTAAAGGCTAAATAATCTAAATTACTAGCTGGAAATTGGAATATCAGACTACGTAGAAGTTTCCCTCGGACAGCTTGCATGTGCCAGCTGTTGGCTTCTTCTGCTGCAAACAACTCCGAAATGACGTAATTCGCCCCCAAAATAGCTCCGCCTTAATTGTAATTTAAAACCGACCCGTATGCCAAACTCGATCAGCATGACAGAAACATGAAATCCTGGACCCAACCAAACACACGGCAATAAACATCCCTCACCCAAACTCCCAAACAAATAAACAGACGTCCAACACTAACGATCAACCACATGCAACCAAAACCCCTGACCCACACAAAACCTTCAACCTGAAACAAATGGTGAAACTTAAACCCATGGAAAAAGTCACTGACTCCCAGACCATAACGAAGACATGCTGCATCATGAAGTGATGGGCTCAAAAGACCCACCAGATGTCCCAAACAATGCACTTGAACCTGACAAGGAGGCACCTGACATGGAATGCGACGAGGATTTCGAGTACCTACCAGAGGTAGGTCGGTAAGTCCCTTCAAAATCAATATATATTTTTTAAATGAGTAAAAAAAACTAGCCTGGAATGTGTAAGGAATTGCAAACATCGAAACAATCTTTGTCCTTAAATATTTATTTAATTTAAATCGACTCCAAGTTCTTGTTTTATTTGAACCAAAATCAGTGGTGGCGATGCCGACCGAGTAATCAAAGACGTAGGATTCGAGAACTCACATAGAATAGAATCGGTAGGTTTTTTTTTTTGGGGGAATATGGTTGCTATAAAAAGGTACTATAACAATACAAATAATAGAAAATCATTGGCAATTCATACATTGCAGAATTTCCTTCCCAGATAATTCTACATGCTACACCACTGTAGTGTACGGAGCCCCCAAAAGCTAACCCGGCATACACTATGGTATCACCTAAATCGTCTTGCAGGGAATACTTTTGAGGCATGGCTGGTCCTTGGAGACTTCAATGCGACTGTGGAAGAAGCTGACAAAACAGGAGGAATAAAAACAAAAGGTTGCAAACACTTTATAAACTGGATTCACAAAAATGACATGGTTGATTTAGGCTTTATAGGTCCCAGATTCACTTGGAAGAGAGACTTATCCCATGTCAGACTAGATCGAGTCTTGGTCAACAACAAATGGAGTGACAACTTTGAGAACACAACACTCCACCATCTACCATGAATAGCGTCCGACCACTCCCCCATAGTGGTACAATTCACACACAACTCATGAAACCCACCAAATTTTTTTTTTTCAGGTACCTCACAGCTTGGGAGCACCACAAACAGTGGCAGAATTGGCTGCAAAGTAACTGGAGAGCAAACGCTGATCTACCAGAGGCCTGTGACAGCTTAACCGCAGCAGTAGAAGATTGGAAGTACAACATTTTCGGGGATATTTACAAAAGGAAAAGAAGAATCTTAGCAAGATTATCAAGCATCCAAAAAGCTCTAGGATTTTACCCATCTCACAACCTACAAAGCCTAGAGGAGGAACTAAGGGGAGACTACGAAAGAACAGTCACACAGGAAGAGTGTCTAAGAATTCAAAACTCAAGATCAATCTGGTTAGTGCAGGGGGACAGAAACACAGAGCCTTTCATGCGGTCCACAAGCCAAAGAAAGACAAAAACAAGGTACATGGAATGCAACTAGATGATGGCAGATGGTGCACAAATCAGGAAAGCATAGGAACAGAAGCTACAAAATTTTACAGGAAAGTATACACACCAGGTAGTCCCAATCCAAACAGACACTACCACGTAAGAGGACTATTTCCACCCATCTCCAGCAGACTCAGTAGAATGTTGCCAGCCACACTCACTGATGATGAAATACACCAAGCAATCACAGAAATGGACCCTACAAAAGCCAACGTGTTGATGGATTTTCAGCAGGCTTCTACCAAAACAATTAGAGCACAGTAGGGCCAACGGTCTGTAAAATGGTGAGAAATGCTTTCGAAACAAGAGAGGTGCCGCTCGAGATCAACAAGGCTATGATCATCTTAATCCCCAAAGTCAAGCCACCAGAAAAATTCCAGAACCTGCGTCCAATAAGTTTAATCAATGTCTCAGCCAAGATTATTTCAAAGGTTGTGGCAAACAGAATTAAAAAAATCATGCCAACACTGATTTCTCACACACAATCGAGTTTTATCCAAGGAAGAAGTATAATAGACAACATAGTGATGGCACAAGAAATAATCCACTCCATGATAATAGCAAAAGAAAAAAAGGGATGGGTAGCAGTCAAAATTGACTTGGCCAAGGCATTCGATTGCATTAGTTGGGACTTTATCCTAGACACCCTAGGAGATGCAGAAATACCACAAAATCTATCAAACATCTTCAAAATCCTACTCACAATAAAGACAAGAGTACTATGGAATGGCAAACCAGGGGAGGAATTCACCCCATCAAGGGGCGTAAGACAAGGAGACTCCCTATCTCCATATTATGCGTGGAGAGATTATCACAAGCTATCAACAAAGAGGTGCAACAACGCAACTGGAAGCTAATCACTTTCGATAATGGAAGGGTAAACATTTCCCATTTATTTTATGCTGATGACCTAATCCTCTTTGCAAAGGCCACAGACAAACAGGTAAAAACAATACGCAAGACCCTCCGATCATTTTGTCAAGCATCGAGACAGACTGTCAGTAATGACAAATCAGTCCTATATTGCTCACCAAATGTGGAAGCTACAAAAGCTGCCTCCCTAAGCAGGAAACTTGGAATAAAGCTAGTGGACAACCTAGGGAAGTACCTGGGTGTCCCAATCATCCACAACAGACTCACTAAAGCAATGTACCAACCACTCACATGCAAGGTGAAACAGCACGTACGTTTATGGAATGGCAGGAAAATGAGCATGGCTGGCAGGTTGACACTGTGCAAGTCAATACTAGCAGCACTCCCCATCTACATTATGCAATCACAGATCATTCCTAAAGGAGTGTGCGATGAAATGGACAAATTAAGAAGGGATTTCCTATGGGGTTCATAGCCAGGAGAGAAAAAACTACATCTAGTCAGCTGAAACTCAATCTGCCAACCAAAATCACGAGGAGGACTCGACCTAAGAAAACTTAGGGACATGAACACAATACTTTTACTAAAGCTAGCATGGGAAATTGTTTCCGGAAGGCAGTGCCTATGGACATCACTTTTCAAGTCAAAATATGGTTCAAGCATCATCTCATCATCACAGTAAAACCGAGGGCACAAAGGCTCTCACCTGTGGAAACAACTGGAACAAGTATGGGCAGCAACAATTCAAGGCACCGAGTGGATCATTGGAAATGTAAAAACAACTCGATTCTGGAATGATATCTGGTTAGAAAAAGAGAAACCCATCAGACAATATGCACAATCACATATCCAAGTAACAGAACTCCACAAAAAAGTGTATGAATATGTCGACCACGAAGGCAATTGGAACTGGCAAATGATAAAGCAATAGATACCAGAAGAAATTCAAAGGAAAATACAATCAATTCCACCACCGGATCCACAAGTCAGACCAGATAAACCTAGCTGGAGATGGACAGACTCGGGCAAATTCACCACCGAGTAAGTATTCAGAGGCTAAAGTTGGTGAACTGGTGTGAAGAAGACAACCTTTGGAACAAAGTTTGGAAGTGGCAAGGCCCAGAAAAAATCAGAGTGTTCCTATGGAAGCTAGCACGAGGAGCAATACTAACAAACACAGAAAGAACAAGACGCCACATGACCAAAAATGGAGCATTTAATTTCCGGAGGGCAGAAGAAACGCCACTACACCTATTCAGAGATTGTGCCAAATCTACACAAGTTTGGAACTCCATAAAGGGAGACACTAAAAATTCCTTCTGGTCTGAACAAGAATTTAAACCTTGGCTCACCTCTAACTTATCTGCCTCCTTGTTGCAGTACGAAATCGATTGGCCAATTTGGTTCGGAACAGCTTGCTGGAAACTATGGATCTGCAGGAACGAGGAGACTTTCACCAAAAATTACATGTCGGCAAGATGCATTGCCCAAACAATCAGAACGGCAATCAAAGAAATCAACCATTCAAATAATCTCTTTGCACAAATAAAGCAGCCTCCAATCAGAGGGAGAAACAGCGACAACAACATCTGGAACCCTCCGCCGAGAGATTGGATTAGTCTATACACAGACGGATCAACACTCACCAAAACCAAAAATTCAACAGCGGGAGGGGTTATACGAAACCACGAAGGCTCTTGGATAGAAGGTTTCACGGCACACGTCGGAGAATGCCCAATTTTGGAAGCGGAGTATTGGGGTGATTTACATGGCCTGAAAATTGATTGGCAATTGGGCTTCAGAAGAGCCCAATTACAAATGGACAGCTTGGCTGCAACCCAAACGCTCAAAGAAGACATTCCAATCACACATCGGGCCAGCAACTTCCTAAGCCGAATCCACATATTATTAGCTCAGCCCTGGACAGTAGAGATATTGCATATAGATAGATCAGGGAACAAAAGTAGAGGACCTATTAGCCAAAATGGGCCACTCCGCCTCGGAGCGGTACATATTTTGGCAACAACCCCGTTCATAATACTAGATCAACTAGCTTTTGACAGTCTGGATTCTCCCCCAGACAAACCCTATAAAGAAATCGTCAAGCTTCCCCAATATGTAAAAAAAAAAAAAAGTTTGATCCTAATTGAGTTAATACTATAAGAAAACAATGAAATTTAGTTTTGAAAACAGGTGATCATATTATAGCTAAGTATAAACTATAGTTTATTCATAATAATTTATGTTGCAATCACATCACTTACATTTAAAGGTAATTTTTTAATATGAAATTATAAATTTATAGATAAAACTAAATTAATCAACTAGGGGATTACCCTTTAATGGTGAATTTTAATGGTGAAAAAAAGAGGTGGCCAAAAAGAAACTTCAAACTAATAAACCCAAAGATAACCAACTGAAGAAAAAACTAAAAAACTCCAATTTGATGTAAAAAAAAAATAAAAAAAAACCGATAGGCATGATGAGAAGAACCAATTCACCGATCAATATTGATTTTTATAGTTATGTGTTAAAGTATAACCATTAGTCGGGTTCTTTTCTTTTTTATTTGTTACTTTATTGGTTTTTATTTCAGTTGGTGGTGCTTCAATTGTAAATTTTTTTAATAGTAATATACTTTTTGCCCCTTGACGGGCAATACTAATAAATAATTACTGTTGTGTAAAAGAAAAAATAGTAGCATAATAATAACAATAACACATAAAATTATAAAAATAATATATTACTAATAAATGAATATAAGGATATCACATGTTCATTATTTTTTTTCATATGATATAATGGCAGAAAAAGTTAATATTGTGCTGATAAAACAAAACATATAAGACCCTATTTCGTTGCTTGGAAAGTTGAGGAAAGTAAAGTTAACAATCCTGAGATTTTAATTCTGAGGAAAATTAATATTTTACTTTACTTTATCATTCATGAGAATATGTGATGAGAATCATGTAGCCTTCCATGGTGATTCTCCTAGTGAGAGGAATGAACTAGTCCTTCATTCTAGTTTTGGAATGCCAAGTTTACTTTGCAGGCCAATCGAGGAAGAAAGGATGGATCTTGACTACCTATGTGATAGAGAGTTGGTTCAAGAGAGCTATGATCAAGATGATGAGAATGTCATTAACTTTGGGGTTCAAACCAAAGGAGATGGTGACCTCATGGAAATAAGTGCTCAAGAGTATCAAGAGAGTTTGACTCTACGTGCTCCATGAAGATCATTGATCAAGCTAGTAAGGAGAGTCATTTAGTGATAGCAATCTCGTAGACGAAGCAATTTCGTTAATGCAACCATCAACAAGAAAGTACGAAGATAATTTTGTCTATCCCGTGAAACTCAAAAGAGTGCGGAAAATTCACAGTAAGACGATTGTTTATCTAAGTGATTCTATCTCTTAACTCAAACCAAGCAAAGAACACATTATCCATGAAAGATTCGAATTAAACAACAACCCACGCTAAGAATAGCAAGGACACCATTCAATATACTCGATCAGTCATTAATCAAGAGACTCAAGAAAGGTAGGAGCAAACAATGCCCAACTATGAAGGACTCAATACACGGCCACACACATGCACAATTGTATTAGAAGACTAAAAAATTTTCAGATTAGGATAAGACGTCCTTATCTTAATAGTTTTCGAAAATAGACTCACTTTAAAACTCTAATTATAATCTCACTGAAATTATAATTTAACACATGCAAAAATTAGTATTTAAATCCAAGTAGGACTTAAATAAAACACATAATAAAATTGTATTACAATTAGGAAACAATGGCTGCAAATTTCGGCCAATGTGAACACAAAAAATCCAAAACCGAATAGGACTCAAATCATAACACAATTTGGACTCAATGACCTTAATTTTAGAGCTAAAATTTTCGGCCATGTGAACACACAAATACAAGACCAAATAGGTCTCCAAGTGTAACACAAATAGACAACCAAAATTCAAGTTCAACTAGAACTAGGAAAACCTAATTTTTAGCTTCACAATTTCGGCTATATTATGACTCTGAAATTCAAAACCAACTAGGCTTAGAATAACACATAAATCACACGCACACACATGCAAAAAGTCAGCAAAATTTCGGCCATTAACCTTTTACCACATAGTTAAAATTTGAAAAATTACTTTTGACTCACTTAAAAAGGAAACTTGAAAATTACCACTTTCCAAAAATGGACAACAACTTTTAGAATCTTTCTAAAAACCCTTTTCCAAATTGTACTTGGAATTAACAAAAATCACTTTTTACCAAAACAATCCATGGCAAATAAAGTAACAAGAACACCATAATTATAATTCAATTATGACATTTACTTCATAATACTAAATTTAACACAAATCATTCTGAAAACTCAATGACTTAACAATGCCATCTTCATAAGTGACCATTGAAAATCAATCTTCCAACAACCAAATATGTAAACTTTGAGAATACATCTCAAAACCTATAAGATTTCTTGTCATACATTAAGAAAATCTATTTAGTAAAGCTTCACTCAATTTTCGATCATACCTTCGAAAATCAAGGTTTTAAAACACAAGTCAAAGACTTCAATCCTTAAAGTTGGCACAATTCAACTTCAAAGACCTTAAACACTTTGATACCAAAACTGATATCACTAAAATTCATTCCTTATCACTTGACAAAGAAAGTTTTTGACTCAAACTCAAAGTGTAAAACTCGAGAAAACAAGGAAACCAACATTTGTTACTTTTGAAAAATCTTTTGACACTAAGATTAACAAAAATTCGATCTCTATGAAATTTTCATGAATTGAAAATCCATAAATTCCATTTTACTCATTAGATTCAAATGAAACCAACAAGAAGGAAGGCTTTTTCATTTATACTTTATGTAGAAAGTACAAAATCCATAAGCTTCACCTTTCAAAGAATAGATCCAAGATATTTACCACAAGATAAACTCTCAAATCTTCCTTATGTAAAGACATCTCTTTAGAAAGAAAAGGCTATCTCGAGCAAGAAGCTCTTCTTTGGCATCAATTCTCTCCTTAAAGATCCAACACATAAGATCCACTAACTTGCTCATAGGAGAAACAGTTCTCTACTTGCAAATCAAGGATAAATTTCAAGATGTAGCGCCCACTTTGATTAGATACCAACGTACCATCATCAAGCTCTCGCATAGACCTTAAAATAACACCACAAGATCAAACAAATGTGTAAGAAGTATCGCACAACCACACAAAAGACAAGATCAATTTTGAAAACGTAGTTTTCACAAGAATTTGATTTATTTTTTCAACACCCCATTCCAAAACAAGAAGGAACCTTGAAACAAATAAAGATAGTACTACTCGTTAAGTAGCACAAAGCTCGATCACCACACCAAGTAACGGATTCCGTGGTAATTCAAGATATTCTCAAAACCAAGAACTATGAAGTTCCCAACTAAGAAGAAATCTCTTGAAAATCAAACTGATAATAGGAATTGAGATGACAATATCAATTAATACCATCATTAAGATAATCCAAGCTTTGATACCAAGAAACTGATAGCAATCTCGTAGACGAAGTAAATTTCGTTAATGCAACTATCAACAAGAAAGTACGAAGATAATTTTGTCTATCCCGTGAAACTCAAAAGAGTGCGGAAAATTCACAGTAAGACGATCGTTTATCTAAGTGATTCTATCTCTTAACTCAAACCAAGCAAAGAACACATTATCCATGAAAGATTCGAATTAAACAATAACCCACGCTAAGAATAGTAATGACACCATTCAATATACTCGATCAGTCATTAATCAAGAGACTCAAGAAAGGTAGGAGCAAACAATGCCCAACTATGATGGAATACTATTGATTAGTAATCTTCATAACCAACCAAAGATATGCAACACATACACTATCTCAAAATGCTTATGCCAAAGCACAACTCATCCAACAAAAGTAGGACAAACCCCACAATGGATCTCATGAACACACTCATCATGAAATTCGAACACCAAGCCAAAAGAAAGGCTCATCAATCGAACTACTAGAAGTAGTATGAAAATAAGAAGTTTAGTTTTAAAACAATCCTATCAAGAAGCATACTTGAAAAAGAATGGTTTCTGCAAGATCAAAAAGATCCAAGACAAGATGAAAACCCTCTTGGTTTAATCATACTTGACACGAAAAATGGACACTCCATTTAACAAAAATTCCTCACAGGAAAAACTCTCAAAAGAGACAACAAAAATGACCACTCAAGGGTGCTTCTAAAATTCGGCCAAGCCTCCTTTATATAGGCTTGAATTTTTTGGCCAGCACCTCTAAAAGAAGACCAATTAGGACTCTCTAATCTTATCTCACAAGGAGTAAAAGTAGAAGAGTACTTGATCTCTTTGACTCTATCTAAAATCTAGGAAACCTTATCTAAATCACTTATCCTCAAGTAGGATAATATCTAGAAGGAATCTAAGACTCCTAATCAAAACACTCTAGCTTAATTCAGTCCACATGACTTATTTAACTAGATAAAAATTCGAGAATAACTCCTAGACTTAGACAATGACTCTAATCTCGAAATTCAGCTCCAAATTATTGAAGTAAAATGTCTTGAACGCCCTTCCAAAAGTGGAATATTGGTCTTGCACCCCTCAAGTTGTAGAAACCTCCAATTTACTCCAAAACTTGTAGAATTCTCTTTATTGACTCCAAAAGATTGGAAAAACACTTGAAACAATTAAGATAGTTTGCAACCTATCCAATTGTGTAGCAATGGACTCAATCTTGAACACTTTGATCAAATAGGCCGTCCACTCAAGAACCTAAATGACTCTTCTCACTAGCTTTGATCAATGATCTTCATGGAGCACACAGAGTCAAACTCTCTTGATACTCTTCAGCACTTATTTCCATGAGGTCTTCATCTCCTTTGGTTTGAACCCCAAAGTTAATGACATTCTCATCACCTTGATCATAGCTCTCTTGAACCAACTCCCTATCACATAGGTAGTCAACATCCATCATTTCTTCCTTGATTGGCCTGCAAAGTAAACTTCGCATTCCAAATCTAGAATGAAGGACTAACTCATTCCCCTCACTAGGAGAACCTCCATGGAAGGCTACATGATTCTCATC